CAATCTAGCGGAAACAACGGTGGAAGTGGTTCAAATGGTAGAAGGCTTAGAAATTTAGCCGGTTCACCCGAAGATGATGATGAAGAAAGATTAGAGGTAGATGGACCTGACCCAAGTGGAAATGAAAATCAGGGAGATCAATCTAGCGGAAACAACGGTGGAAGTGGTTCAAATGGTAGAAGGCTTAGAAATTTAGCAGGTTCACTCGAATATGATGATGATGACGAAAACTCAGAGGAAGATGAACCTGACAGAAATCGAAGTCGAAGCGGAGGAAGCACACACTACAATGGAACTGCTTCAAATAGTAGAAGGCGTAGAAGTTTATCAGAGGAGGGTCCACCTCACGATGATGACCTCAAAATCGTGGTAGGTTCAGAAGGGGGAAATGGAGGAACAGGACATGGACAGGGAAATAATCCAGATATTAAAGGAGGAAATGATGATAACAATTGCTCAGAGTGTAGAATGTTTAGACTTTTATCTGAGAAGGTTTCGCTACGGGGTGATAGAAATGACGACGAAGATGGAGGGGAAAGTGGAGGTAGTGTTGGGAATGGAAGTTGGTTGAATATTCGATGCTTTAGGATCTTGGGTGATGATGACCCAATATGCTATGATGATTTCGTTCTTGCGAGGGAACGAATTGGAACAGGTTTAGGACAAGGAAGTGGAAATCAGGGAGCTCATTCTAGCGGAAACAACAATGGAACTGCCTCGAATGGTAGAAAATTTAGGATTCTGGCAGGTTCAACCGAAGACGGTGAAGATTTAGAGGTAGATGGACCTCATGAAGATGAAAGTGGAGGCAGTGGCGGAGGAGGAAGCGGAAATAAGAGGAATAAAACACATGGAAAATGTGATGGTCAGGAATCGGCGAGTGGAAAGCTTAGTCTTTTATCAGAAGGGGATGAACCAAATGAAATCATCAACGGATCAGATGAATCAGAATCAAGGGGAGGAAAGTGTGGTGGACAAGATAGATGTGACAAACGGGGTAAAAGAAATGACGGAAATAGTGCAGCTCATAGAAATGGTGTACTTTTATCAAGTGCTAGTTCGTCCGCTACACATGGGATGCAAAAGAACGAATTGGAATATAATAAGAAAGGGAAAGAGAAAGAAAAAGAAAAGGAAAGATCGTGGACGTATCCCACGGGCCCCGTGGAAATAATGACTAGTGGAGGCAGCACCAAAGAAGGGAAGGCTGGGTCAGAGACAAAAAAGGGAGCAGAGGACGGAGGTCCCAATGGAAATGTGGGCATGCTACCCCCATTTAAAAAGCACGAAATAGATGAAGAGGAGGAGGAGGAAGAAGCAGCAGAGGATGAAGAGAAGGATGAACAGGAAGATGATGAGGAAGAAGAAGAGGAAAAATTAAAGAGGAAAGAAACACATAAGAGTAACTACTACTCCTATGACATAAACGGAACGACTGAATCGGTGAATGAGGATGCTAATGGTGAAAGCGGTTCGCCTCCTGATACAATGATGATGAATCTGAAGCGCCTAATTAAGGGCAATTCCTGTGAGTGGGGTCATCCCCTGAAGTCGTCCAGTTTGGCTAATTTCAGAAATTATGGGAAATGTGCGGGTTACTCCAGTGAGGCTGCCTCTTCCAACTATGCCGTTACTCCCAAGTATGCCGCTACTCCCAACTATACCGCTACTCCCAGCCATGTCAACTACAAGCAGCTGTTCAGAGAAAGCGCCCACATATGCAGGAATGGCAACTACTACTTTATCAATCCGAGCCCGTTTAGCATAGTCCAAATGAAGCAGCAACAAGGGGAGCGACCCCATAAAGGCAGCCGCCATTACATGGACTGCTACACTACCTGGCTTAGCAGCAAGTACAACTCTACACAGGGCAGCGAATATGTCCATAGACGTATAAAGCAAATAGAAGAGCTAATCCCCGGTTCCTTAACAGGTTTTAAAAATGACGATGGGTATGAGAAATTACTTCTGCCTTCGTTTGTCCCAGAAGACACATTTTTGCATTGTATTTTTCGAAATGAATGGCATCATGGAATGGTGAATGCAGAGGGTCCCATGAGTGCAACTGAGTTGTCATACCCGGTGAAAATTTTTTTAAAAAGAAATTTAAACAAGACGAAAGGATGCTCTTTTCAAGTGAAAGAAGGAAACGAACATTACAAGGAGTATGCAGAGAGGGAGTCCTTCCTCACCAAGAAGATAATATTGAATGAAACAAACAGGACCAGGAACGAGTGTGTAATACACGCGTTTAACGAAATTGTGGGATTTCAATGTGGGCCACCTTACAGAATGGATAAGAAGGAAAAGCACACTCAGGACGATTATAACTTGACTAGTGAGAAGAAAGAAAATAATCTAATCAACCAAGGTGTATCCGAAGGAGACTTTTTTAGAACTGATCCTCCATACTGCTTTGAGCATGTGAATGAAAATCAGAACGTGGTGGATATTCTTCCCGACAGTTTTCCCTTCCCGAATTCGAAAATGTTGGCTGGACAAATCCAAGTAAACCATACGAGGTATATAAAAGTGGAAAACTTCACTGAGAGCAAAACTATTGGATGCTACTGCCACTACTATAGAGAGAACAGAATCATGTACTCTGGAAAGATAATCATAATAGTGCAACCAAGCCAACACCCGCATTTGACTAGCAAAGGTGGTCACGTGAGGCAGTCACATGGAAAGGTAAATTCTGCCCAGGGGGTGGACAAGAAGAAGAGTGTGGCTATAGAAGATATGAATTTGCTCCAAGAAAAAAGCAGCTCATACAGGAGAGAACACTACAACATTGGTAACGGAAGGGGCAGCAGCTGTGGTAGCGGCAGAGGCTGTGCATACGGTGGGGTCAAGGAAGGGTCGGCTTCTACCCATTACGGGGTGGACAATACAAGGAGCAACTTCATCTCCAATGTTAACTTCAAACATAAGGAAGGAATAAACAGCATTTTCTTCAAAGAGAATATGGGTGCGTCGACCGTGAGTTATGATCTCATCCGTCGATTCGGAGACAAATTCAAGGGCGAGTATATTGAGGAGCTGCCCCCGGAGGATGCCTACGGGGGCGAAGGTAGCTTGGGTGCAGGTGACTACACCAACTTGGATGGCGAATCGGGTACACACGAGTATGACGATTCGTACAGCGACCCGTACACAGATGACTATGCCGATCCGTATGGAGATCCCTACGAGGATGCGTATACCGATGAGTATGACGATGCGCATACCGATGAGCATACCGATGAGCATACCCATGACCATACCGATGCGTATAGCAACCTCGATCGCGATGCCGATGGAAACTTCCTTTCCGACTTAGACGACGGCCTCATGAATGAAAACGTACCATCCAAATATAAGCCCTTGGACAGAAGCGTTGATTTGCAGGATAGTGTCATGCATTCTGGAGAATCACAAACCATTACTGTGATTAACAAGTCTAAAAATGTTAAGGTGCTGCTGCCAAAGATGAAGGCCAAGAAAAAGACATACCGAGGGGATCGAGAGTTCCCTTACCCTAAGGTGATCTCAATCGTTTATGAAGAGAAAGGGAACAAGCATGAGAAGGTGGACAAATCGCTCAGAATGTTTAAGGAGTTCTTCCCTCCTGTCCTTAGGGAGGTTGAAGCAAGGGTGGATGCTCTAGAGGGGGAGAAGGATATACATGAAAGGGGAAAACACGAGCTGGTCGATGAAGTGCAGGATGAGAACTACGTGGGGGAATGCATAAAATGCGAAGATCGGAAGGATGGAAAGGATGATAAAGAAGGAAGGGATGTAACAGACTGCAAGGTTGATAAGGACGGGAAGGACAAAATAGACCCGAAAGAAGAGAAGGATGGGAAAGACGGGGAAGACATCAGCGACTTCACATATGAATCAGTGAGCGAAGTGCAGGGAAATAAAACGAATAACTCAATCGATGAAGAGATAAGCCATTCTGTGGACCACCCCAGTGGGATGAAGGAGAAACACGAAGGAGACTCATTATCTGCAGAAGACGAACAAGTAGTGATGAAAAAAGGCAGGCCCGATCAGAATGATTCACCCTGTGGTGAACAACCGTCACAGGAAAAAAGAAGACCACGAAGAAAGGGGAAGCGAGGGGGGAAAAAGAAAGGGGCGAATAGTGCCAAAGATGGCAAACAAGGCAACGATTCAAGTGCTGCAGAGGGTGACAAGCACAGGGGACAACCCAGCGTGGAGAAAAAGGAACATCTGGAAGGAAGCTGGGACGAACAAGATGCAAAACGACGTGGTGAAGAAAAGGCTGACCAGATTGAGGGACAAAGTAAACAAATGGAGGATTTAAAGAAAGGGTGGGGCCCAACTACAGAGGGAACTAACGGGATGAATGTCGAAATAGGTGAGGAAAAACAATCAGATAAAGGGGAGAAAGAAAAAGGGGACGAACACAAAGAGAGTGAGGTGAAAAACGCAGAAAATTATGAAGCACAGGAGAGGAAAAATAGGATGAGAAAAAGAATGAGACAGAAGCTCCAAAGGAAATGGCCCCGAGCGGATTAGGCCGATTAGGCGGACCATGCGGACGAAGCAGGGAGACGAAGATGAGTGCGCTCTGCCGAGCGAAACAACCCTGTCACATTTTTCATGCAACGCAAAGAAGGAAAAAATACGACAGCAGGACGATCACCACATTACACGGATATTTGCGACGCGGAAAACGTGTGTCTTAAAAAATGGATTAGCCTCCGATAGGGGAAAACCCATTTCGCATGCAAAAGTGCAGGCATCAGAGCAGATGATCTTTTCTCTCCTTTTCGTAATCATGCATACTGCCCTTTTCATGTGCACTAACCTGCTTTGAGCATTTGAATGAAGGGACCACTTGTGCCCATTCTTTTGCCTTCTCCTCTGCAGAGTTGCTCGTAGAATAAGGGCAATTACACGATTGCGAAATGTGCATGTTTTATCGCATACGTGCATTTTGAGATGAGATTATTTTTAGATGATATTATTTTTAGATGATATTATTTTTAGATGAGATTATTTTTAGATGATATTATTTTTAGATGAGATTATTTTGAGATGAAATTATTTTTAGATGAGATTATTTTTAGATGATGTTATTTTTAGATGATATTATTTCTATATGATATTATTTTTAGATGATGTTATTTTTAGATGATATTATTTCTATATGATATTATTTTTAGATGAGGCACTTATTTTTATTTACCACCCCTGCATGTAATGTATGTCCACGCGCGCCCATTCTGCGTCGGGCACTTACATGGAATGAAATGACTACGCGCCTTTCACCACCTATGCACGCCCCTATAATTGTGCACGCGTAGAAGAACGAATTCGTGATGTAAGTTACGAAGGGGGCAAAGGTGGAAAAATCTGCCAAGAGTGATCCGTTGAAAACTGGAAAAGAAAACTAAGACAAATGAAAAGACAATCATAAGTGACATCACAAGTGATATCACAAGTGCAGACCATGCGGATCCTTTGAAGCCCATATTTAATCGGCTTGCAGGGCGCACAGAGTAAATATACGTAGTAGATCCACACCTGGATACGAGCGACACGGAAAGTGGATTGCACTGAGACAGTTCGGGTGAAGACTGTTCCCAGTTCCCATCAAATGTGCAACAGTTGAATTTATGGCCAGACCAATTTTTTTCATTTCCTAACAGAGTGGATGTCTATCGCCCAGTATGCGCATTTTTAAGGCATGTGGTTCTACTATTTTAAGTGTCTTGTCCTGCCTCTATGGCAGTTCCACTTGGGGGTGATCCTCCCCTTTCGTGTTCCATTATTTGTGAATGCCCTTTCGGTGGTGTATTATTTGGGGGAGGTTCTTTCTCCCCGTCTGTCGCGTTCACCTCGTATGCTGCTTCCTCCGGGTATGCCCCCTTCTCATGCTCACTCGGTCCTACGGACGCACTGCTGAGCGGCTGCTCTTCCTTCTGGTCCCTTCCTTCCTCCAATATGTCATTCATAAATTCTTCCTTTTCCCCTGCTGTTGTTTCAAGGCTGTCTTTCTGTACATACATTTCGCTCATCATTTTGTGGGCACTTTTGGGGACATTGTGTCTGAACCTAGGGGAGACCAGTCGTCTTTTTCCTACGCAAGTGTGTGAAGGGAATAAACATTCCGTGGTCCGCGCACGTGCACGCTACAACTTTGCACCGTTATTGTGGAGTGGCTCGCACATTTGCGTTCGGCTTACCCATCAACTTCTTCATGTTGGTTTCTTGTATTATCATATTTTTTCGCAGCTCCAGTTTTTCTCCACAAGATTCTTTGAGGACTTTTAGCTGAAGAGGGCAGGGAGGGTTCAAACATGTGCGTTTGTGAGTGCGCTTTTTTCTTTTTTTTTTTTGCTTTGACCCCATTTGCGCGCCTCGTGGGGAACTGTGCTCACCCCCAACCCTACCTCGTTCGTAAAAATGGTTATAGCATCGATGATGTAGGAAAGGTTATGCTCCGAGTGAATACTCAGATGGTACTTCTCATTCTCATACGTGTACATAATATTGGCATTGGTGTTGTTTTTGCTGTCCACCACGATTCGCAATATGTTCAGCATAGGTATGTTTATGTCTCGATGAATGTTGCGCTCGATTATCGTCTCGATGTTAATCACATCTTCTTCTTTTCCGTCCTTGAAGCAGAGGAAGCACAAGAACCACTCCCCTGCATGGTGTGGGTGAGGGAAAAAACGACATCGCAATGTTAGGAGATAAGCTAAATTGGGCGTAGTGAGGTGCACACACGGGTTCATCCCAATCCATATCTGCACAATCGATATCTGCAGAAATGCATGCAAAGCGCGACGCACCCATTATCTCCTTCGCCGACATGTACTTCGGCACGTATGCGTAAAAATCGAACACGCAGATTTCTTGTTCTAGCACGAAACTCATCAGCCTAAGTCTTTGCATCAGACTTATATCGTTTATGTCCTACAAGAAGGAGAAAAAATAAAATGATAAAGCGAACATGTGCATGGTGTTTATGAGTTTTTTTTTCTTTTTTTTTTTTCCGCGAAGGGGTGGTTTCACTAGTTGTGAGGCACAATGCAGCTGTCATGGGCGGACATGTCAATATGCTTTCTCTGGGCCGTGGAGCGGTGGGGCAACCCCCCCATTTAGAGTTATCCCCGTCGCTTTCATTTTATCCTTTCTCTTTCATTTTATCCTTCCTATTTCTCTTCCTCTCTGTCCCTCCCGTGTACCGTGTCAACATCTACTAGGGACAAATTTTTATCGTCGTCATCGAACGCCTTGTGAATATTTTGCAAGTTAATATCTTTTTTGTTGAGACTCTTGGATTTGTTCTTCCACAATTCGAGTCCATCCTGTATGAACATGCATTCGTTGGGGCACGCATATTTCTGAACTGCGATGAGGGGGGAGAAGTGCTAGCCGTAAGTCTATATGGGGGTTAGTTGCGTGGCCATTATAAGGCATGCATACGTGCTAGTGCGTTTCCTCACATATGTGTGCGGTCAGATCCACGGCGAGACTCACTTTTGTAAAAGGACATCTGCACTTTGCAGATTTCTTGCCCATCCTTGAAGCATACGAACCTGGACATATTGGGGTGAAACGGAAAGGGGGAGGTTTGTTCTATGTGTATGTGTCTGGGGGGTCACACCTCTACAAGGGTGCATGCGGGTATACACATATATATTCACATATATATTGACAGAATCGTAAGCATGCACAAAGCTCTGGGGCAGCGCCATCCGTGTGCTGACCACTCGTTCTTGGGAAAGGACTTGGTGATGACGCTCGAATTTATGTCTATATTAATCTGTCCAATGTGAACCTTCTTCGTTAATTTGGTCGTGAAGAGGTCGACTTTGAGCGTCTCATCGCACTGCCTGATTTTTATATCCACTCGCTGGTCGATATGTATCCTGTTTTTCTTGTTGGTCGAGATTTCTGCCAGGTGGGGAAGTTAAGCAGCGGAGTAGGGAGGGGAGGAAGCTCATTGGTGAGGCGGCTTCTTGGTGAAGAGGCTCCGTTGCGTGGCAGCCCAGTTACGACATAGCCCCATCACGTTGCAGCTGGATTGGAGAGGCGCGCCCCGCTCACCCAGGGGAAACCTTTCCATTACCATCCGTTTGAAAGTCATATTTGTCCGTGCTGAAGATGATGTATATATGTTTGTACTTATTTATGTTAAATATTTCGTTGATTTTTACGAGCAAGTAGAAGGTCCTGTAATTGTGCAGCCCGCTGAAGTAGTACATGGAGGCTGCAAAAAGGGGGGAATCAGTTGGTAAGGATGGAGGGAGGGCGCACGCGTCGTTAGGTTGTTGCTCCGGCGGTGTGACGGTGTAGTGGTGTACTAATATAACAATATGGCGATGTCCTGTCTCCATTTTCTCATGAGCACCACTTGGAACGCCCTCATCTTGGCGAAGCTCTCTCATTTTCCAGTGGAGGCAACTACGTGCGTACCGAATGGCTCGAAGTCGCTGATGTGCGGGCACGTCCTTTTGTAACTCTTTATGAGATAGTTTACGCATTTCTTCGATATGCTGTTAAATCTGTTCTTAAAAATGTTAAAGATGAATTTGGTTCCGAACATTGGCTTCTTCTTTCCAGTTGAGGTGTATTCGTTTGCTACTGTGTGCTTATCTGTTTAGGTGGTCCTTCCGTGGGGGTGCATATCTGAAGTGGAGTCTCCACGAAGATGACAAATAAGTGAGCAGTTGTGTGGAGACACATGTATAAACGTTTTCCTCGGTGTAGTTATGTGTTCGTAGCTATTCTCCACCACGACTCACTCCGATGAAGGGCGCAACTCATTTTAGTGGTCTATCAGTTCAAAATGTTTTGCGAACAAATCAACTTGACTGAAAAAGAGTGCCACAAAGGAAGTTACACATTTGAGGGGGCCATAGACGTTTCTGTCTCTGTTTATATTTTTTTTTTTTTTTCTGTGTCACTTTTAAGTTAATAGAACAGTTCTGATTCGTTATTTTTTTTTTTGTTTTTTTCTTTTTTTTCTTTTTTCTGTTTTATTTTTTTTTCAGTTTTTTTTCCCATTTTGCGTCAATCTACGTCGTTATTTTTTCGCGCCACAAATGCTGCACATGCGGAATCGCATTTCTTTAGTCAGAATATTGCACCTCTTTTTTTGCTAACTGTTTTTGAATTTGTTCACCCTTGGGCGGACATAGACGTGTTAATTTTTTTTCCGTCAATATGGGTACATGTGTGTATTTTTTTTCCCCCCCGCTTTCTTAACGCTGATGGGCAGTTTGCCAAGGGCGCGGTTCGGTTGATTTTGTCCGGGATCTCCACTCAAGGAATTCACCAGAATGTACACACCTTTTTTCGCAAATTTTGCCACCCCTCCTTTTTAGCCTTTCGGCGTGGCATCTTGTGAGGGGTGTTAGCCTCCACCATGCGTCTGCAAAAGAAGATGGCTCAACCTTTTTCACAAATCGGTTAGGCAGCGAACTATTCACGCTTCTTTCCCATTGCGTGAGTGATACCACCTATTCGGAAGGGAACTCCCTTATGATTGGAACATATGATCGAAAAATCCCTCAATGTGGCTGACTGGTTTGTGCCTGGGGTTGCCAGCTAACCACACGGGATTGAATGCTACTCTCAATTGGGAGGTTTCGCTAATTAGGGTGGTACGGACACAGTGGTGAAGCAGTGAGAGGCGAAAAGGGAATAGGTACATGTGGGAGAAAGACTTAATGGGGGGCAAAATCACAATTATTTTATTTTTTTTTTTTTTCTTTTTTCAATTTATCCCATTTGTCTATTCTCCATATGGAGAACTTCTTACTAAAAACCGCTGCGACCTTTTTTGTAATGGCCCAATTGGGAGGGGGTACCTTCGTGGTGACTGCTGCGAGGTGCTCCATGTGCCCGTGAATGAAGTACACCTCGCAATTCGTTGCAGCCCAGGGGTGCGTGTGGGGGCTGTGTATTCGATCGGTTTATATAGGGGGGTCCGTGCATGGGAACAGACATGCACATGGCTCAACTAATGGCGCGGTGAAACAGGACCAACGGGTCAAAACCTGTTGGCGCTATTTTCCACGTTTCCGACTAATGCGAACAGAAGCCTTCTACACATTTGAGGAGTTAGCAGTTTTTGCGTGCATTTTTCTCGTTTTCTTTTTTGGGAGGAGGCCACCTTTGCAGAAGCCGTAAAATAACACCTTTCCTTGAGGAACTAACTGATCAGCGGATAGGATAAAAAATAAAATAAAAAAAAAAACAGCAACAATAGGAAAATAATCACAGTAATCACCATGAGAGGCACAGAACTTAAGCGCATTTTTTTTCAATTCAGCATATGAGGGTTTTATAGGTGGATGATAATACATCCTATTTGCGTTATTTATTTTTTCTCGCGTATTTTTTTATTCATTCCTGCGTTATTCATATTATCTTCCCATTTTTTAACTTTTTACTTTCGTTTTTTTTTTTGTTTTTTTCTTCTCTTCACTGCTCTTTTGTGTTACGCCTGAAAAGGATGATTATCTCACAGCTATAATGACATAGCGAATGTAAAAAAAAAAAAGAAAAAAAAGAAAAAAAAAGATATGAGGATAGAAAGGCGTCGTGGGCATGATCACGGACGTTTGGATAAATTACGATTCGTGTTAAGCCAGGGATGTTACCTATTGTTTGCCTCGACTTGGCAAAATCATTGTAACGATTTGGGCAAACAGGGCAAACATGCACATATGTTGCTGTGTAAGGAGGTATATACATATGTACATATGTTACATAGGTGTTATGCCAAACTGGCACTGCATACGCTTATGCGCATGTATATGCCCATCCCTGCGTATACGTGAGAAAGCACGAGTATATGTTTACGTCGTAGCGACTCCACAGTGGATAAGGCTATTCTGACACAAGTCATCAAACCGATCGTGTAAATAATTTCAAAGCCAGTAGTGCCAAAAAAAAAAGAAAAAATTACTAAAACAAAAAAGCAAAGATACAGGGCGAAAGGAAGCGCATATAAGTGTACATATATATATGCACTTATATATGTACATAAACTTGAGCAGCAAAATCGCGTGAACAATTCTTCCGTCAGAAAAAACACCACAGATGATCGATCCGCCTGACTGGTCAAATCATTTGGCATATTCATTACGTAATCATTTTGCCTCCGATTGAATTTGTTTAGCAACAATTAGGAAGATTTATTAGTAATGATAAGGGAACTATTTTTAGAAGCCAGGGAATGAGGAAGAGAAAAAAAAATAAGATAAAATAAGCAGCTTCACGGATGCCTTGGAGGGGGTACCTGGGTGTGGCCTCTTCGTATGTGATGACACCGATGAGAGGGGGGCCTCGGCCAAGGATAGCACTGTTGTGAAGTGATCACTGTTGAGAAGTGCCCACCACTGGGAAGTGCCCAGCTTGCAAAATGTTGCTTTAACGAGTCGCTTCCGCAGAAGAAGGTTTAATTCAGGCAGCCCCCCTACAAACACGCACGTATTTCTGTGTGTCCCTTCTTTTTTTTTTCCACGGTGCCCTGTTGGAACATCAACCACAGCTATTTTTTAAGAGACCTCTCAAGACCGCTCCATTCTAGTATCTGACGTGAAGGGGCTAGCCAGCACAAGGGGGAACCGATCAGGGACGGTAGAGAAGGCAAGAAAAATAACAACACCGCATTGTTGCCCCTAACTAGAGTAGTACCATTTAGGGGCTACCAGGGAGAAATACTCCTCAGAACGGATCAACTCACCAAAATCGAATCACAAATGATGGAAATTAGCAAAGTGAAGAAGAAGTGATCAAAAATAAGAAGCGAAAATTTATACGTTAGATAGCTACCCAGCAATATGAGTAATGACATAGGGGAAGAAGCAACTGCACAAGTGCACTCAGGAACGAATAATACCGGTAACAGTGAGGTAAAGGAAGGGAGTTGTCCCCCCTCCCACTGTTCTCTTCAACCGCGTGGTGAGAATTTTAACGATAAAATTAAATTCTCAGGAGAAGGGGAGAAATCAAATGTGTTAGTAGAGACAAACGAAAGTCAGGTCACCACGAGCAGCAGTAACAACAACAGCTGCGAAAATGCCAATGTGAATAGGGACACAAATAGTAGTTCAGAGAATGTGGGCAACAGGAGTGGAAATAGTTATGATAACAGAGCTCATGTAGAAAGCGCATACCGTGCCGTAGCATGTGAAAGGCGTAATCAACAGTCGAATGTCCCTAATGGGGATCCAGTTAATCATCTAAGCAGTCATCCCAATTTAGGTGAACCAAGTGAGAGGGCGGGCGGTGATGCCACCCTTGCACAGGACCGTCACGGGGGACAAACCCAAGGGGATAATCCCCCCCACGCGCAGTACGGTCATTCAGGAAGTACCAATAGGAATCACCAAACGATGGATAGCAATAAAAATGGTCCCGTCAATGTTATATTTAATGACACCACCACCATTGGACAACACGACAGAAGTAGCATTAGTAGTAACATTCCCAACGAGGTATACATCCATAGTCAGCCGAAGGAGGGGAATGTGTACAAGACGAGCACGTGGCAGAGTAAGGAAAGAAGCAGCGTCAATTATCCTGCAAATGAGAACAACGCGGCTACCATTTCGTGTGGTAATGACCAGCAACACTCTCCACAGAATGCTCAGGAGCTAAGTGCATCCAGCGCATCTCAATCGAGGTACGGCATTCACACGGGTTCTAACCTAGCTAGCTACACTCGAAGTGAGAACATTTTGCATGCGACGAATAACTCCCTGAGTGATAGAAGTCACGCACAATGCAACGCTATGCAAGTTAATTTGGTGAGAGGCACCCCAAATGATAAAACTAGTTTTGATAGGCCCAATGAGACGACATATCAAATATATGGGAGCCGCCACGGAGGCTCCCTCAATGCAGCGTCTGCTCGTGCACCTTACCACAGCCTGGGCATCCAGGGGGATAGCGGCCACGTTAGTCAGGTGCACGAGGACGCGCGCGGCGCGTGGGGCGGCGGGCCGCACAGTAATGCTACATATAGTAGTGCTGCGTATAGCAACGCTGCGTACAGCAACTCTGGGTACACTAACGCCCAGTATAGTAATACCCCATATAGTAACCCTCCGTATAGTAATACCCCATATAGTAACCCTCCGTATAGTAATGCCCCCTATAGTAACCCTCCGCAGAGCAGCGCGAAGGAGCACTACAGTGTGAACCAAACAGCGTACCAGCATTGCGCCCTTAACCAACCCAGTGCTAACCGGCCCACCGCTAACCAGCCTGCCGCTAACCAGCCCAGTGCGCAGAACTTTTATGGAACCCACACAAGCGCTGTTGGCAACGCGTTTGGCAGTACACCATTCGGGAGTGCGCCATATGGAGGAAGTCCTGCCACAACTGCTGACCCAAGCGCGAGTGCAAAACGAGAAGATAACCAAGAGCGGGGGACGAACAGACAGAAGTACGAACGGACCGATGAAGAATCAGTGGAAAGTTCAAGCTCCGAAAATTCGAGTGAAAACGAAAATGAGGTAACAGACAAAGGGGAAGAAATATACACCCTGTTAAAAAAGACGATCAACCGTATAGACATGAACAAAATTCCAAGGCCTGTAATAAACTCCCAAGAGAGAAAAAAAAAAAGAAATTTAAAAGTATTCGAGACGTGTAAGTATATCTCCCCCCCGTCCTATTATCAACCCTACATATCGATTGATACGGGGAAAGCAGACCCGAGATTTATGAAGAGCACGTTGTATCAGATTCCGTTATTCTCAGAGACGTTAAAGCTGTCTCAGATTCCCTTTGGAATCATTGTAAATCCTTTTGCATGTCTAAACGAGGGAGAAAAGGTGGACAAAATCGATATGAAAGATATCATTAATGATAAAGAAGAAAATATAGAAATTTTGAGATGTCCCAAATGTTTAAGTTACTTGCATGCGACTATATTGGAAGATATCTCCAGCACAGTACAATGTGTCTTTTGCGACACGGATTTTTTGATCAATGAAAATGTACTCTTTGATATATATCAGTATAATGAGAAGATAGGACATAGGGAGAGTAATCACGATGGGAATTCTCTTTCCCCTTTGCTAAAGGGCAGTGTCGATATTATCATCCCCCCCATTTATTACCATCATGGTAATAAGCTTAAGTTGACGTATACCTCCCTGAGTAAAAACATTAACCAGACGGCGTCCATGATTACGAATAAGATTATGTCTCTGACGAAACATATTTCTAGTTCGCTAGTTGCGAATGATTCCAAAGGGGGTAATAAGCCGACTACTGGCAGTGCTTTTGGTGACTCGGGGCAGGGAACCTTCTTTGCAGGTGGTGGTTATACCAATTATGGAGGCATGGGAGGAGACTACAGCGCATATGACAGCCAAAGCGGTTACAACAGTCATAGCGGGGTTAATAACCGAATGGGCAACAGCACAGGGAATCATCCCTATGGGAACGACCACACTGTGCAAAATTTCGACAACGTGACGGACAATGCCAACCTTACCATGCATGATATGAAAAATTTATTATGCGAGAAAAGTGGCGAATCGGATACTGTCAAAATGAGAAGAAATTCGTTGCTGACGAAATACCCGCAAGTAAAAAATATGTTGCCGCCCTACTTTGTCTTCGTCGTGGAGTGCTCTTACAATGCCATTTATAACAACATAACGTATACGATTCTGGAGGGCATTAGGTACGCCGTGCAGAATGTGAAGTGTCCGCGGACCAAGATTGCCATCATTACGTTCAACAGTTCGATTTATTTTTACCACTGCAAGAGGGGCGAGAAGGAAGGAGGGGCGAACGGCGGCAGCGGTGGCCACAGCAACAGCGGCAACCACCAGGTGATCGTGATGAGCGACGTGGATGACCCGTTTCTGCCCCTTCCGCTGGAGGACCTCTTCTTCGGGTGCGTCGAAGAGATAGACAAAATTAACACCCTCATAGACACGATCAAATCGGTGAGCACGACGATGCAGTCATACGGGTCCTGCGGAAATAGCGCACTCAAAGTTGCTATGGACATGCTGAAGGAGCGAAATGGGCTGGGTAGCATATGCATGTTCTACACCACGACCCCCAATTGCGGAGTAGGCTCCATTAAAGAACTGAAAAAGGACTTGCAAGAAAACTTTCTGGAGGTAAAACAAAAGATATTTTACGATTCCCTACTGCTGGACTTATACGCATACAACATCAGTGTAGACATTTTTATTATTTCGTCAAATAATGTGCGTGTGTGTGTTCCGTCTCTACAATATGTGGCGCAAAACACTGGGGGGAAAATACTTTATGTAGAAAATTTTGTATGGCAGAAGGATTACAAAGAGATATACATGAGCATAATGGACACGCTAACGTCTGAAGACATTGGCTACTGTTGTGAGTTGAAATTAAGATACTCACAACACATGTCGGTGAAGAAGCTGTTCTGTTGTAACAACAATTTTAATTCCATCATCAGCGTCGATACGATTAGGATCCCCAAAATTCGTCATGACCAGACTTTTGCCTTTTTACTCAACTACTCGGACATATCAGAGAGCAAGAAACAAATTTATTTCCAGTGCGCTTGTATGTATACCAACCTATATGGGGATCGCTTTGTTCGTCTGCACACTACTCACATGAATTTGACCTCGTCTCTAAGTACCGTCTTTAGGTACACCGACGCAGAGGCCTTGATGAGTATCCTCATTAAGCAGCTCTGCACCAACATCCTGCACAATGATAATTACTCCAAGATTATCATCGATAATTTGGCGGCTATTTTGTTTTCCTATCGCATAAATGTAAGTGCTACTCGTGGTGCGCAAGTGGCGGTGCGTAAGTCGCGATGGGCAATTCACAATGTGCAAATCACGATGCGCTGCAGTCATGGGGCCATGGTAGCTGTGTTCTCCACGTTTGTCATGCCGCTCACCCCATGTCACTTTTCCGCTTCCCCCTCTGTAGTGTGCCTCGTCCGCCCATTCGGGCCAGTTGATCCTCCCGGACACGCTAAAGTTGCTTCCGCTATTTACCTCCTCTCTTCTAAAACACAATGTCACGAAGAAGGAAATCTTACATGACCTGAAGGTGTACAGCTTGATAAAGCTCCTTTCCATGCCGATTATATCTTCCCTGTTGTATGTATACCCAGTAACATATGTAATTCACATAAAGGGGAAAACCAACGAGCTAGATTCGATGGATGTGGACGACGACTTGTTTATTCCCAAAACGATACCGTCCAGTGCGGAGAAGATTTACTCCAATGGGATTTACCTGCTCGATGCGTGCACCCACTTTTACCTTTACTTCGGGTTTCACTCCGACGCAAATTTCGCCAAGGAGGTGAGTATCGAAATATGTGGCGTTTTGTGGCATTATACAAGCCGCTTTGCGTCGCGCGGTTCAGCACAAATGCACCTAACTGGGGCGTACTTTAACGCCTGGGACGCGTCGGCACACCTTAACCCACCGTTGTCTATTTGGTTTATTTCCCCCTTTTGAAGATTGTTGGAGACACCCCGACCGAGAAAAACGCGCATGAACTGAACCTTACGGATACCCACAACGCACGTGAGTGTTAAAATTTGAAGAGAGCGACAAAATTGGTGAAGCGCTCACGGGAGGACTGCAAGACGAAGAACTTCATTTTAGGGCGCCTTCCTTTTTTCTCACTTGTGTTATCTTGTGCTATGCTATGTTTTGCTTTATTTTTATTATATTTTATTTTTTCCTCCTCATTGGCAGAAAAAGTTCAGCGTATCATTAGAAACCTGACCAGGATTCACCACTTCAACAAGTATGTGCCTCTGGTGATGGTTGCCCCCAAGTAAGTTCGAGTCGAAATGGGATAAGCGGAATGGAGCGACTTCGAGGAAAGAAATTGCGTCGTGTGGTGCGATGATACTTAACATGGAATGGGAAGCCAACACCACCACTCAAAAGGATGCACACATACTTGCATACAAATTAAAACGTGAACGTAATTGCAAATTTTTCACACACACTTGTAGATCCAACGAGGAGGAACACCTCATATCTTTGTGCGTTGAAGACAAAGCCGACAAGGAATACAGCTACGTGAACTTCTTATGTTTTATTCACAAATTGGTTCACAAAAGGATTGATGAGTCGTAACGGTGCGAAAGTAGTCAGTTTTTATTCAGACCTATGCAGCATCTCCAGAGGACACTTTGATTCCCCCTCCCTTCGGACCACTGCGCCAACCGGCTGCTAGAAGCGCCTCAAGAGGCACGGGCTAGCGCCGCGTTTGTGCTGCGTATGTTCCTCATACGTTCCTAGTATGTTCGGATTTGTGCCCATTTGAAATGCCGCCCATAGGCGGACACACGGCCAGTACGCAGATACCCAAGCTGCGAGCATGTATGCATGCATGCGCGGCCCCCCCACTATATGTTCGTTTTAATTTCGCCCCTTTTTAATCCCCACCGGAATTTGTTTACTAATTTTCGCCTTTTTAAATATTCCCGTGATTTGTGAAGAAAAGTGAGCACATTGCGTGTGCGCGGAAGCGCCCGTTTACATGCACATGTGAATATGCATACAAAGGTGCATAGAAACGCTCACATAAACGTGCATATATATATGCATACACGCATGTAGGTCTGTCCTTATTAAGCCCATAACCCCCCCTCTACGTATGATAAATTAAAAATTTTGTGAAGTATTGCAAAAGTGATGCTGGGCGACGAACGACTTATTATTGGAGTGCCCAGAAAAGGGCGCCGTGCGTGAGAACCCTGTTGCGTTTGTTGTATACAACGTCAACGTGCACAGGTAGGTCGATACGAAACGCAGTTAGCAGCATGCCTATGTTTAATTTTAACCAAGTGGGACAACTAAGGCGAAAACAAAGCTGGGGTGAAAAAGGCCAGTAATTGCAGTGGGAATAATTGAAGGGTTATTATATTACTGCCCAACTTTCTTCCTCTTTCGCTTCTACTTTCGCTTCTACTTCCCCTTCCTGTTCTTTTTTTTTTTTTTTTCCCAAACCATTGAGCTGTTCTGGGAAAATACATCCGTTCGTGAAAAAACGGTAAAAAGTAACCCCCCACCCGCAGCAACATCAAATTCGGGAATGAGCAAAACAGCCTATTTATTTTAAAACAAACTTTTACTGCTTTGCTAAAAACGGAATGGAACTTCTTAAACAGAATAGGCCGAAACTGAAGGAATTGCATTTTCTCATTCCCCCAGCTAGTCAAAAAGTGCGCCGAAAAAAAAAAAAAAAAAACATCCACAATGCAGCAGGAGTAAAATACAACTGGGAACACTTCAGCGGAGAGGAGGAAAAACTTTCCATACAATTGACAGATCTTCGGAATAAATATCTGCGCCCTGGTAGGCACAAATATGAAGTAAGAATTTTTCAAGTAGGAGTGAGAAAATACAAGTTTAACCATGCAGCTCGGTTTTTCCCTCCCCCCATAAGAAAAAACAGGCCAATTATAGGAAAAGATGCAAAGCAGCTTATACATAAACCACGTAAAAACACTTGTTGAAAATGTAAATGACGATTTTTTTAATTTTGACGAGCTTACTGGGGAAGGGATACAACCAGGCGGTGGTGCAGCGGTGGCTACAGCTGAGGTTGCCAGCGGAATTCATGGTGGCGTAGAAACGACACACCAAAAGAAGGTGCACGAGGTGCACTCCAGCCTAAGCTCCAACTGCAGAATAATCAAAATAGAGGATGAAGAAGTTGAAATTGGAAAGTGGAATGAAGTGAGGAACACTCCAATAAATGAATTCATAATAAACGCCCTGATTAACAAGTTTCACTTCAAAACATTCCTGCCCTGTCAAAGTTGTGTGTTGAATTATGCCCTGTTGAGCAAGAATGGATCCAGTTCGCTACTCAGTGGAGACATATACATTGAAGTGCCAACGGGGTTGGGGAAAACGTTATGTTATATTATAACCATACTGGATTATTTTTTATATAAAAAGGACCAGAGTGGGAAACTTTTTTGTCTCATATTAACAGCCACAGAAGAGTTGGTAACTCAAATTCTTGGAGTTTTGAACAAATTCGAAGTTAGCAACCTAGTGTGTCAGGGGATAAATACCAACATGTTTCAAATGAACATTTATTTCGATCAGTTGATGGATAGTAGGAACACCTTTAAGGAAACGAACATTCTCGTCACAACGACCAACAAATTTGAAACCCTCTTCTACAGCAATGAGGAGCTTTTTAAGGACTTGAAATTTTTAGTTATTGACGAAGTGGATAAAATTATCTCCTTTAGTAAATCCAACATTAACAGTTTAGTGAATTCACTATCAGACATTGTCGAGAAGTATCAAATGGCAACTGGTAATTTGTACAAACCAAAGAATTTCCTGCAGAAAATTTTCGTTTCCGCGACCCTGTGTAAAGTGTCGGATAATCTCATGTCTCTGAATCTGTACAGACCCATTTTTTTCTATTATATTGTTAATTACAAGAGAAACGAGGAGTTTTACTTGAGCACCAAGGGGAAATACAGCAAGGTTTATGTAGTCCTTCGACTGATCATGGATATACCAACCAAGGGTGAGTTGAATCTTCTCAAGGAAAGGGCCTTTAATTTTTTTTTTTTTTTTTTGGAGTTCCATGTGGCGGCACCGCACCGTCAGGGCAGCCTTCTCCGCATTGTCCACATCACCCCTCTCCGTTTCCACGTCTACATACACGTCCACTTTACCCCCCTCAGACAACCTCAGCATGCTCATCTTCTGCAACACGGAGGAGTCGGCGCACATGCTCTATCGATTCCTGACCGTGTACTTCAGTTACAAGAATGAAGGCAGCTACGGGATAAAGGAGTACACCCGGAATTTATCCAACAAGAGGAAGAAAAAAATATTAAACGATTTTCTAACGCAGAAGTTGCACATCCTGATATGCACGGACTCCATTTCCAGGGGACTCGACACCGTGAATGTAAACTACGTGGTGAACTACGACATGCCAAGTCACTACAACGTGTTGACACATAGGATTGGGAGACTCTCCAGGTACGTCAGCATATTTAGAGGTGGAACGAAGGGGATATGAATTCTTAACCACCTGCTTCGCGCTTCTCACCATATGAAGTGCCCCCCCAAATGGCAGCGAACATGTGTGTCTTTGTACGTTTTCACCCATTTTCGACACTCCATAATGACACTACCCTTTTGTGCAGACATAACAGCAGAAGAGGAACCGTGTACCATTTGATCCGGAAAAAAGAAAAAATAATAATCAACAAGTCCATCAGACAAAGGCACCTCAAAGGAATCGAGAAGGTGAAATTCAAAAAGGAGAAGATCCAGGACATAAAGAGAGACATAACGCATTTGAAGCCCCTTATCAAGGATATAATAACCAAGGAGCAGGCAGAAGTTTTACGCAGACATAAATTTTATCCCTACGATGAGTTGGTGAAGCTATGCGGGTTGGGATGACAACATATATAGGCAGCTTCCGTGCTGAGTCACCACATTTGGAGTGACTAACTTGTGGATGTTTTTCTTTTTTTGTCCCATTTGATGGAGGAGGCACATTCCACAGTTCGCATATGCAATAAAGGGGGAAGAAGCAAAAAAATTTACGTCTTTTTCTTCTTTTTTTTTTTTGTTCAATTACGCGTCCTTTCCAATGGAAAACATAAAGAGATCGCCGCGGCTGCGAGGCCACGAATTGGGATAAAGCAGGCGTATGCAGAAATGTCCACCCACTTTAAGTGCAAATATGGGAATAGAGTTTTCTGTGTGTTTTACCCATTTTTTGGCCGTAATCGGCATGCGCATGGACGGAGGACTCGAGGAAAGAATAATATTTGTTCTGAGTCGCGCATGTTGGGGGTGTTCCCCTTGTCACGCAGGAAAGGTCATCCCTTTTGGGGGCCTCATTTGTCTGTACCCCCGGCGTGCTGACCTGGGGGTATGGAAAGGGCACGGGAAGAAGTCACCAATTTATTTGTTCAAATTAACGAGAAATTGCTCATCGTATGTTAAAAAAAAGGGGGGGACCATATGCTCGCTCTGATCACTCTCTTTACAATCACTTCCTTAATCAGCAAAATGAAGGTAGATTAATTTTATTTCTTTATTCGAAAAGGAGGAAATGCTTAATTTTGCCATAGAAAAAAAAAAAAAAAACACAATGCGCATGGTGGTGTGTACTTTTCTGCCGCCAAACTCTGCGAAGGTAGAAAATGTGCAAAAGAAAAATGCTACTTCTGTATAACCACTTGGAATAACGACTATGTTATCGGTTTTGTTGCCGTCTTTGTGTCTTTGCTGCTGCTCTCCGTCTGTATTTTTGTCTGTCATGGCTCCATTTTTTTATACACCCTTTTGCAACTGGCTTTTCCCTTTCCGCGCCTCGCCAGCCCCTCAAATTGAGGAAAACATAAATGTTAAAAAAAAAAATCCGAACGGCTAAAGGTGTTTTAAATTACGTTTAAAAAATTGTAAAAATTGAAATTGGAAGTGTTGACATCAATTTGTGTAAATTTTTTTTTTTTTTACATCTTTTAAAAAACTTGGTTGTCAATATTCTTCCTGTTTTCCTCTCCTGGCAAAGCAGAATTGATGTGTGCATTTTTTGTCTAAGTGAAAAAAAGGGGGATATTTTGGCCGGTTGCACTGGAGGGAGAATCCTTGGCGTTACAGATTTTCTCACGCGTTGCTACGCACTCTCGTCTCACTATTGTGGTTAGACACTGGTCGGTACGCTCTTGTACTGTGTGCGCTTCTGCCTAGTGGAACAGCGCAACTCCGGTGTAAAAGCGCCATAACGTGTACTTTGTGCTACCCATTTGGCTATCCCCCCCCCCTTCAAAAATGAAAAAGCTCCTTCTGGTTGCGCTTCTTTACCTGCTGATTCAACAGCTTCCCGTACACGCAGAAGAACACATCTGCGATTTCACGAAGGAGAAGTACCTTCTGGGGACGAATGAAAAAGAATACTGTGTGGTGAACGCCAAACCTTTTGACAGCGTAACATTTATATGTCCCAAAAAAATCGGAGCACAGTGCTTTCATAATGTGAACACGCTAGACGATATAAGAAAAGACAGAATGGAATCATCGAAGCTGTCCATAGATCAGCTGTTATACGGATCGACCCTCTATGGAGACACCCTCCTAATATCACCCACGGTGAAGCAAGGGACAACCTTCTACTGTTTCTGTAACTTACAAATGGAGAACTTGGAGGAGTTTCTAACGAAGAGAAGATTGTCTAAGGAAAAGCTAAAGGCGCAAAGCAAATCCACTATTAATGTGGACGACTTCAGAAATGGGGACGATGATGTGGAGGTGGTATTTCCAGAGAAGAAAGTAGATGAGCATCTAGTTCGAGCATTATATAAGGTAAAAAAAATTAGGAATATAATCGATCATGAAAAGAACAAAATGGAAGAAGGCGATAATCATCAAAATCCCCACGACGAAGAACAACTCATAATGGACGAGGACAAGGAAGAAGAGGCTGAACAAGGGGGTAGGAGTAAAGTTGAAGATGCTGTTACAAAGTATGGAGTAATGAAAGTTGTTGTTTCTACGAATAATACAATAACTAAAGGGTGCGATTTCGGAAATAATGTAGTGAACTATTTTTCTAATCCCTACCCTATTGAGAGGTATGGAGGCAGTAAGGTTTGCAGAATTGAAGCAAAGCCAGGCGACTTTGTCGGATTCAAGTGCATATATGATGACAAGGGTTACGTCGAACCACATAACTGCTTTGACAAGGTCCTTTACGAGGGTAAAGAAACCGATTTACAGACCCTCATGCCTGGTTATATATCATATGGAAACAAGCGGAAGGGGAAATACGCCTTTTACTTAAAGCTGCCCCACTTTGTGCAACACAGCTACACCATTCAGTGCAAGTGCAGGTCCACAGTGGAGCAGTATGATGACTACGTCTTCGAGCTGGCCGTAGAGGGCGGCGAGAGTGAAGTTGTTGCCAAGACCTTCCATGAGTAGGCGGTACCAGGTGCGGATCAACGCGGCCGCATGTGAAAAACCACCTCAATGTCTAAGTGGGTGGACCTCGTAGTGTCTACCTTGATATCCTTGTAAGTGATCGTTAACCCCTTTCCATCGCTTCCATGCGATCGAATAGGTTTTTTTTTTTTTTTAATACTGAAAAGTGCTAATTTTTCGAAATGAATTGCCCCCAAGCAATATTTTCAGCAGTGTTATGCGGGTGAAGGGGAGGTCCCCCTCACAAAAAAAAAACAACACCATTTTAAAATTTCCTCTTTAAGATGCAAATAAAAGGTTGGGACTGGTTGCGTCGTTACGCAGTTACGCGGTGTGCCAACTTGGCTAGCGCTCCGTAGACTCCCTCGTGTGTGGGGGGAGCTTTCTTCACGTCCACTTAAAATTTGTGCGCGATTTGGAGAAAGTCTCGTCATACAGGCTGTCGAGAAATAGGCATCGATGTGCCAATTTCCGCCTAATTGTGGTATCCTCCGCTTTTCACGTTTCGAAAAAATTACGACGTCGCATGTAGATCCCTCCCCCTCGCTTATTTTAGAAAACCTGAGCCTGTTCCTGCCACACAGTTAATTGTGCAATTTTTTAAGAAAAAATTGGTGAAGCGCTAACTGAAAAATGGGTGTGGCGCGTCTATAAGTGCTCAATTTGGAGGACGCTACAATTTTTTTTAAAACGGATAGTTTATTTTGTGCTTCAAAAAATTTGGAGCCCCGAATATATTCTTTTTTTTTTTTTTTGCATGCGTTGTGCGTGTGGAGCTGTAGACGGTCTTATTTGATCAGCTGGGTCGAGCTAAAAATTTGGAGAGACTTGACGAGGCGTCTCGCCAGATTTGTCCTTCCCGTTTGATCCTCCCTTAGAGGCATCTCGAGCTATTTCTCTTCGCGTTTGTTGTGTGTCTGGCGATTTTTTCTTTTTCTGGGTGACCTGTTAAAAGGGGCCCAAAAAAAAAGGAAATATATTTTCAATTTATTTTAATATATGAAAAATTTTAACTTATTTTAATATTTTAATTTATTTTATTCTGTTCCACTTTATTTTCTCACTAGTTTACGTACATCTTACTCTTTACACTTTAACGAATTTTTTTTTCCTTTTTTGCATCTACTGCAGTCCCATCTAGCACTACAGGAAAAAGCGTAAAATATCTACAACTACCACGTGGTAATTTTTTTTTGCTTCCATTTTGGGTTCGAATTTTTTATGGGAGTTTACGGAGTAAGGTCTAGTGTGTAAGACGCAGATTAGGACTAGCCTCTGATGTGAACTGTTTTTTTTTTCCACTCCTTTGTAGTGAAGTTTTCTTTCCACTTCTTTCGTGTGAACTGTTTTTTTTTCCATTCCTTCTCTTCTTTGGTGTGCATTTGAAGAGGGAAACACAGGGAGGAACAGAGTGAAGACTCAGAAGGGGTCACGTCCAACAACCATAAGAAATCAGCACACGGTGAGAGCAAAAATGAGGATCTTTCAGGTGGTGCTGCTACTGGTGGTACCCTTCACAGTCAGCCATTTGTACAACTACGAAAAGTTGAAATGTGGGAAATGGGATGTTAGAAACTATTCCGAAGGGAGGAGGTGGAGAATGCTTAGCGGGGAACACGATGAGAATTTCCTACCAAGTGGTAATTCACTAGATGGAAGAAATGATGAGCATAGTGTGAATGAACAAATTTCACGTATAGTCCAAAGGGAACAGGTTAATTTTATTGACAACGAAACTGGAGAAAGTATGCTTGTAGATGTGGGGCATTTAGGTAGGAACACTTCTCATGGTGTCACGGAACGGGAAAACTCCTCGCGGGGAAGGAATGTCAGGGATGTGGATGCTGACCAAGAGACAGGAAAAATGTTGCAGGAAGATGGTGGAGGAGGAGCGCGAACTGCTTCGAGTTCGATGGAGAAAAAGACAATGGAAGGTGGCAGCGATTGGAGGGATCTTATGGAACATGGAGAAGAAGAAAAGGAGGACGACTCCAAAACAAGCATACAAGGTAATACAGAGGAGGGACTAAAGAGCACACTAAATGGTACCATGACAACCATCAAAGGTAAAGGGCCGAACCTGCTCAGAAATATAATTAGCCAAATTAATTACGTGCAAGCGATTGGGGAACTGTTAAAAGTAGCCAACGAAGAGGAGAGCCACTCTTCAGGAAGAAGCAACCTTTCGAAGACAGAAAAGGAACGAGAGGATGCTGCACTTGGTGACATTTTGGGGGGAAATAACCCAAATGGAGAGAAAAAGGGGGAGCTTCCAAACGGAACTAAGAACGATGGAATGATAAAAGGATATGCAAATGTACTGTTAAACGAAGGGAAGAACGTCTTGAAGACAAATGTTCATAACTTTCTAAGCAGAGTTTTTAACCTAATCGTTCGCGAAAAGCTAATGACTCGCATGTGCCAAAGGGGGGGGGAAGTCCACGGGGGTGCAGATCAGCATGGGGCGGACAAGTCAAAGGGTGAGGAGTGCACTAAAAGGAGAACTGGTGACTGCAGCGTAGGGAAGAAACCCGCGCCGGATGCATCCGCTGATCCAAGCGGCAAGCCAACTATTGATTCGGAGGGAGGCCCCGTGAATTGCAACCTCCCCAAGCTGAGCGGAACGAAATTCTACCAATCGGAAGACCTCTACAACTACTACAGATCGTTGGAGGAGATGCTAAAAAGCAGAAGCATTAGATGGAGAACCGACCGTGTGTCAAGATACTTTACCTTCTACCCGAGCAAAAAAATAGAAGACAACTTGGAAGATGTGATGGAGAACAAGATATTCATAGAATCCGTTAGAAGCATCTTATTCGATTCACATGTGAAAAATGAACAAACTGTTTACACTAGTTTTGCCGTTGTTGTTGAGACGATGTTTTCTTTGATAAAGGAAGAAAAGGTAATTGCCGATATGTATTCTTATGTGAACTTATTTTTCCAAGACATAGGCATTCTAAACTTGAAGGTGTTGAATTTTCTCATAAACTCTTCGACTGAAAATTATAATTTTCTGGCTCTCCCCGATTTGTCCCTCACCAACTTTGAATACATTTTGGCCAAGATATATTCTCGCTCCGTTTTGGCTAACATGTTAAGCTCAAAAATGAATCACTCGGATTCGAAAAGATTGTCAAAATTTCTGATCAGTAGGAACAACGATTTGAAGTTTACTTTTCTGGAGAAGGAGAAGATCGGGAGCTCCGTTATTCCCAGTGAAGGCGTTTCAGCCATGGTCTTAAGAAATGTCGGGGGTGAAGTGAATGTCCCCATCCCGGTGGCGGATGACACGTTGTGTAAATTTATTCCCATTAGGAAGAAGTGAGTACTTCCGCGCGAGTTGCCGGACAACTCTGGACATGCACCACTGGACGTATATGATTCGACGTGCACCCCCAGTGGCGAATACCCATTGGTGCATGTCTCTTCACACCCACCTTCCATTTCAACCATTCGCTTTTCACCCCCCGCAGACTACTGTACGAAAAACTAAGCCTCACGAGGAAAGTCGCCGAAGAAGTAATCCTGGACTACCTGTTCCGATTACTCCTCAGGAAGGTGCATGAATATGTGATGGAGTGATTTTCCAACTGACCAGGAGGAAGAAAAGTGGAAGGCTTTCAAAAGGTATCAGTTGCACGGGCGTCAGCGACGGTTTGATCGCTGTCCGAGTGGTTACATGTCATACATGTGTGAGTGAATAATTTGATCGCCCAAACGTTTTAGCCCTAATTTGGTTGCCCCCCTTTTTTTGTTGCCCCAACCGTTTCCTCTTTTTTCACATTTTTTTGTAAGAGAGGGGGCAAGTTTGCGTGGTGCAAAAGGAAAAAGCGCATGGATGTCGGTGGGTTCGCCAGAGCCGGCCTGCGCTCCCATTTTGCGGGTCTACTTCGTTTGACTAGTTCTGTCGTCCGTTTTTTTGGCAAATCGCGAACTTTAAGAAGATCGCCAATTGCGCGATGTCCGCCCAGTGTGTGTATTTTCTACTTCCAAATTTTTTCCTCATCTGAAACTCTTATTTTCCACAGATATGCAACTTTTTCCATTTCTATGAAAACGTAGATTGTGCATATGCCCGTCCGCAAGTGGCATGTCGGATGTGTGAAACTTTTGTGCATTTCAGTGCACTGCGCAGGAAGGGAAAGGAGGCGTTACTTGGGGGCGTTACCTTGGGGTGTTACCTCGGTGGTTCGCCAATCAGTGCGAACTTGGGTTGACGAACGGGTGCAGTTGGTGAAGGCGAAAAAGTGCAACATGATGTCTTCATACTTTCCTAGATTTAGACGCGTTAGGAATGCTTTCCTTTTTTTTTTTCTGACTTGATTTTATTTCTTACCCCCTGTGTGGTTAGCAGTCCAGCAGGGGGAGTCGCCAGAATGGCAATTCGCATAGTCTATTAATTGCTCACGGGATTTTGTAACTGCAATGTTATTTTCCGTTTGGATGCCATTTTTGTTTCAGTTTCGTTTTTCCGTTCACTCACACACGGCTGTAACTCTCCGCCGGCATGCCCCCGCCTGAACGTACACTTCGTTCTGTGACCACCACCCCCTGGACATGATTTTAATTTGTCTGATTTTCTTAGCTTTCGTGAGTTATGCCAAATGTGACATCCCAGTTCACTGTTTGAGCAGACATGTGGAGGGGAAGTGGGAGATCAGCTTGGGCCTGCTGAAGGGGGAAAGCGGCGGCACTTCGGATTGGGGACAGGACTACGACTACGAATGCGGTTACCGCCGCCCGGACGATTCCGTTTACCATGGTGTAATATACATGCACATCTGTACGCATGTGTGTAGGTCCACATGATAAGTGTGCTACCTCGGATTGGTGCCCGTCGGGTTTTGCCCTCTCACTTAATGCATCCGCATATATGCTCCCTTTTTTTTTTTTTT